GAATATCAAACACCAATTAGATGGTACAGTGATGTGCTATGTGTGGAATTAAGTGACACAGACCAAGACCTTTCATCTTCCTATGTGTTGATACTTGGTTGCTATGCAGATTCACATGTGAGGAACTGTGCAGCTATCCTGGTGGACAGAGACTCACCAGTGCTTGTGAGGAAGTTGACATTTTTCATCACACTTTCGGTGTAAGTGCCTGGTTCGTAACTGTCCATTTCACCTGTGACGATGTGAGCTACTCTTGCAGCTCTTCCTCTAATGGCACCTGCAGCTCGGTCTAAGTTGTCAGCATCCTGGTCCCTTAAGGCTATAATGCATTTGTTGACATCTTCCAGGATGTGGCTTTCTGTAAAGAAACAGAGCAAATTATGTGTATGCATATGTTTTGATTACACACATGTAGCATGCTGCAATATTACTAACTTTTTATTAAGACACACCATGTTACTTAGGCTGCTGAGAATTAATTATGAAATAAGGCTGCAGGTATTGTTATTTCATTTCTCTATGTACTAATAGTAACTGCCATAAAATGTAAAATCTGTTTTTGAACATAAAGGTTTCAGGGTATGGGCTGATAGCTGTCAAAATTCTTCTGTACAAGCAGAAAGGTTCAAGTTTGGATCACCAAGACCTACTTAATATCAGGGCACTACAGCTATGTATGTAACCACAGCACTATGGTTGGAGACAGAGGCATGGAGAACCCAGAGGATTTCGAGGAAGCGAGTCTAGAAAAAACAAACTAACAAATCAGTGAACTCCTACTCAGAGAGAGACTCTCAAAAAATAAAGGGGGCAATAATAAAAAGAAAGCATCAATAGCAACTTCTTGCCTGCTCATGGATCGATGTGCACCTATACACTCACACACACACATACACACACACACACACACACATACACACATACACACATACACACACACACACACACAAACACACACTGAGAGACAGACAGAGAGAGACAGACAGACAGACAGACAGACACACACACACACACACACACACACACACACACAGAGAGAGAGAGAGAGAGAGAGAGAGAGAGAGAGACAGAGACAGAGAGAGACAAAGAGAATTTTGCTTGACACGGGGTTACACACCTAAAATCCCAGGACTTGGGAGGCTGAGCCAAGAAGAATGGGAGTTCAAGACCAGGTAGTCTTACACAGAGAGTTAAAAGCTGTACTATAAAAACATCAAAGCACCAAGGGGAATAAAAGAGAACTGTATGGATCATGAATTACTGTAAGTTCTAGGACCAGTAGACTATGTTTGATATTTGAGGGACAAGTAAAAATTGAAGGTGTTTTACATTAAAATAGAAACAGAATATATAATTATAGAATGTTTAGTTCTGAATAAGAGAATATGATATGAGAGCATAAATTTAAAACTACTATCTTTGATAAATATATAGAAGAATAAACAAATTGGTGTTTCATTTAGACAGCAGATAATAATAAAATAAGAAGTCTATAATGTTTTTAAATATTTATTATTTACGTGTATGGGGATGGGTGGGTACATGTATGTGCATTTAGGCACCCACAGAGGTCAGAAGTGGACACTGATCCTCTGGAGTTGAAGACTGGTGAAAGCCACCTGACGAGGATGATGGGAATTCTGAAAAAGAAGCAAACATTCTTAACACTGTGCCAACTCTCCAACTCCCGAACTAAAAGCTTTGTGTCATAAAGCAACAAAAATTCTCCAAGTCTGTGAACATACATACAAAGACAGAGAGAGAGAGAGAGAGAGAGAGAGAGAGAGAATTGCCCAATGTGACAGGGTTAGTGTGTCAAAAAAAAAAAAAGAGCAGGGAGTTTTTAGTCACTATCAGAAAACAACTTTATAAAATTATTAATATTCTCAAGCAAAAGTAAGGTGATGATATGAGGAAATAATGCATAATATCAACAAGTATAAACAATGATGTTTTGTTTCTTGTTTTAGTTTTTGTTGTTGGATTTTTGTGTTTTTGAAATAGGGTCTAAGTCATTCAGCCCTGGGTGGGCCCTGAATTCTCCATTCTTTTGCCTCAGCTCCCCAAGTGCTGGGATAAATATCATTGCCATGCACATGATATTTATAGCAAATTAAAAGAATTTCAAAACTAGTGATTTTGCTTCAGGCTTGATCACACGAAAGCCTACACAAGATAATTAAAGTCTTGATTATTTATCAACATATACAAAAATAGTTGTAACAAAAGACCTCAGTATCCCATAACATCTTATTAACCTTTTTGACCTTTCTCTCCTGTTTCTCTTGGATGTGTTTGTGAACATGTGTTGACTGTCCATGCCAGTGTAAGTAAATCACATGATGTAAGTTAATCACAGTCATATTTCCCCCTTATTGTATACTTAAACAACGAAAGAAAATTATGGGCAGGAATACAATGCTATTTTCCACATAATTGCTAGTTAAATGTAGTCAGCATGTCTCTGGATATATAGGACTAACCTTCTACAGTTGAATAACAATAATAAAACTACCATAAAATATTGTCAGTGAACCGTACTGTCCCATTGCAGACATTCTGAGCTTCACTTACATGGTTTTTTTAAAAAATATTTATTGTTTTTCTTTTGACTCTTTCTGTGAACATCTTAAAACATTGACATAATTGCACTGCCCACTCCTATGGTTAGCATGTTCACCTTGTACTATTGTTTCAATTATTTCTTTTATTTTTGAGATTAAAATATAATTACATCATCTTCCCTTCATTTTTTTTCCACCTGAAACCTCCCATATAACCCTTCTAGCTCTCTTTTAAATTCATGGCTCTCTTTTCATTAATTGTGTTATATGCATATTATATATATATCAAATTTTTGTATATATATATGCATATATATATATATATATACTGTTACATGCGTATATGCATTCCTAAATACATATATGTTTATATACAGTAATATATATATATATATATATATATGTTATATGTTTTCAAAGATGAACATTTGGTATCCACTAACCAGGTGATGTGCTCTTACTTGGAGAAGGCTATTTTTCCACTCTCGGCATCCCTTAGTTGCCTGTAGTTATTTGTGTAGGGCTGACACCTCATGGGCTTTCCCCCATGAACTCCAGCATCTCCATTGTTGTTGTCCTTGTTCTGCTCATGTTTGGACAATCATGTTAGTAAGATAGTGTGGATGCAACTTCTGACATTCCTAGGAGATGCAATTTCGCAGCAAACTCTCTGATCCTCTGGTTCTTATTCTTTCTGCCCCATTGTCTACAGTGTTCCCTGAGTGATATATGCAGGAGTTAATTTGCAAATGTATCCATTGGGACCAGGCTCCACAACTCTTCATTTTAATTGGTTGTGTTTTTCTGTAACTTTCATTGATGAGAAGTGAGGACTATATTTATCTAGGCTATAAGGACAAATACTTAGAAGGTAGTTAGAGATTCTGCTGGTTTAATAAAGGGGCAGTTTATATGTTTTCTTTGAAGATCCACAATTTCATAGTTCTGGGTAGTTGTCAAGGTTTCCAGTAACAGATATGATGTCCCTCTTGTTGAACATGGCTTAAGTTCAGTTAGAGAGCAACTGGTTCCCACAAGGTATGCATGCCAATACTTCACCCTTATGGCTATCATGCAATGCTAGACATTTTTGGTGGCTTATAGGCATCATACTTAGGTAGGACTCTTGGTTGCTTTCCTCCTTTGGAAGCTTGCATGGCACCTTCTACTACCAGGAAAGCTAATACTCAGGGAGGAAGCTTTCAGGTTAGCTCAACCGAGGGTCCTCCTCTTCTAGCAGTTTCAATTACCACAACTAGGTCTTTGATCAGTTTGGAGCTAGTTTTTTGTATGTGCATGCAAGGGTATAGTTACCATTTTAATTTCATTTCTTTACATAGGGAAATCCAGTTTCCCTAGCACTGATTGTTTTTTTTCCTCTATCCTACTCTGTTATATCTGCTAAGTATTAAATAGCTGAAGTTCTACATACCCATGTTTGGGTCTTTGATTTTGTTCTGTTGGTCTACATGTCTGGTTTTCTACTACCATACTGCTTTTATTACTATGACTCTATAACAAGTCTTAAAATCTGGAGTGGTTGTCCATTTATCATTGTTCCTTTTGCTGAGGATTTTTTGGCTATCTGGGATCATGTGTAGTTCCATTTGAATTTTAGGGTAGGCTTTACTATTTTTATGAAGAATGAGATGAGGATTTTGATGGGCTTGTGTTGAAACTTTAAATGGCTATTGGTAAAATGGTCATTTCATAGCATAATATGCATTATATTTTCTATTGTGTTTATCCTTTTCTACAGAGGTTATGTATATGTCCTTTAGTCCATTTTTCTATATTTGTCATTATTTTATTTCAGGCTTGTGTGAATGGGAGTGTGTCCATGATCTCTTTCTCTGTATGTTTGTGGTTTGTGTATAGTAAATCTATTGATTTCTGCAAATTGATTCTGTATCCTGCCACATCACTGAATTTGTTCACCATTTCCAGAAATTTCCTGGTATAACTTTTGAGACCTCTACTGTATGTTGTGTCTTCTGCTAAGGGGGTAGTTTAATTTGTTTGTTCCCTGTTTGGCCCTTTGATTTCTTTCTCTTACCTTATTGATCCAGCTAAGAATTCAAGGAAAACACTGAAAAGGAACAGGGATAGTAGACATCTTTACCCCATTCCTGACCTTACTGGAATTTCTTCAAGCATTTGTCCATTTAGGATTATGTTGATTGTGGGTTTCTATAGATCTGCCTGCCTCTGCCTCCTATGTGCTGGGATTAAAGGCATGAACTACCATGCTGGCTGAGATGTGTTTATTAAACACAACAAATAGATGTATTTTGTTTCTTTAGTCATTCAATCAGTGTGTAGTTTTTGATTAAAAAACTTACAAGAAAAACATTAACACAGAAAACAATAAATTATAAATTCACCAAGCTTTTAAACTAATCTGTAGCATATTCTTATGAATATATCATAAGGCACACAGTAATCACAGAGATGGATCAATTTCAACAGGAAGCACATGCAAACACATTACCATCATATCTCCTATGTGATGGCATAAAAGTTTAGTTGAAAGCACAACAATTACATTTTTGAAAGCCCATATGTGCATTTTAATGATGCAATAAAAACTATCATTTTCCAGGTACATTCATAAAGTATGTTAAAGAACAACACATGCACACAATGATTGTTTCATCTCTGTTTAGTAGGTACTCTTAAATTTACATTGCATTGATAGCTTTGCTCAATACATAAAGTATATTAATACTTAGGAAGAACAATGCTCATTCTCAGAAGATTAATTATCTAATAAACTCTGTAATTTGTTTAATTA